GCTGTCGTAGCCGTCGTAGCCGCCGTAGTCGTAGCCGTCGTAGCTCTCGTGGTCCTCTGGGTCCGCGTCGGAATCGTACTCTTTCTTCTCAGTGGCCGATCGTGCTCTCCGCATTTCGTCCTCCACCTCCTCCGTGCTGGGCGGGGGGCGGAGGCTCGGCCGCCAGCCGTCGTAGGAGCGGAGGTCGCTGTTGCCGACGTAGCCGCGCTCGTCGGTGGAATCGTAGCCGCCGTTGTCGTGGTCGTCGTCCTCCGTCATCCCGAACGCCTCCACGAAGGGCGCCTCCTCCGCATCCTCGGACTGGTCTGGGTCCCCGTGGTCGTAGCTGTAGTGGTCGTACCCGTCGTTGCCGTCGGGGTCGCCGTGGTTGTAGCCGTAATAGCCGTCGTCCTCGTAGTCCCGGCTCCGGCGCGCGACGGCCGCGCGGAGTGCCCGCTCCGCCACCTGGGAGAGGTTGGCGGCGTCCGTCGGGTAGGCGACGCCAGGCACGCTCCGCGCGTCGTGATGGGCGGCCTCGGCGGCGGCTCCACTCAGAGGTGTCGGCGGCGAGGCGGTCCAGCAGCCCGGTGGTACCTCCACGACGATGTACTTGTACTTGGCCCCAGGGAGGCTCGGCCGTCCGAGGCGGGGGCCCGCCGCCGCCTTGGCAAGCGCAGCCTGGGTGGCGTGCGTGAAGCCTCCCTCCGGGGCGTCGGCGGCGTGCCATGCCGCGTTGCGCCTCCGACGCGCGGCGCCTGGCACCCTTCTGCGAGATGCAAGGGCCTGGAGCGCTGGTCGCGAGGCGTCCTCGCGGTCCCGCCAGGACCCCGGCGCGTGGTCGTTGCTGCCGAGGGCCCTGCGGAGGGCCGCCTCGCAGGCCAGACGGGCACGCGCTCGGGCCGCGCGCCGAGCCGCAGACGGCCTTGCGGCGGCCGCCTCGTCGGCACGGAGTGGTCCGGGCAGCCAGCTGCTGGTGCGGCCGCCCCCCGTAGCCATGATCCGCGCGCGCGCAGGGGGAGGAGACTGAGCCGCTCTCTGTGCCTGCCGAGATGACAGGGCTCTACAGGGAGAGGCACGGCACGCTCCTCCTGCCACGCGCCCAGGCAGGCTTGAGCCAAAATGGCTACAGACCCTCCTCCTCCTCCTCCTCCTCCTCCTCCTCCTCCTCCTCCTCCTCCTCCTCCTCCTCCTCCTGCTCTTTCTGCTCCTCCTCCTCCTCCTCCTCCTCCTCCTCCTCCTCCTCTCCTGCTCCTCTCCTCCTCTCTCCTCCTCCTCCTCCTCCTCCTCCTCCTCCTCCTCCTCCTCCTCCTCCTCCTGCCTCTTCCTCCTCCTCATCCTCCTCCTCCTACACCCCTTCACCGCTGCACCGCTGCACCGATTACCGAGGGGGCCCAGAAACGGCCGAAGAGGGCATCCAAGAGGGCTTTCGAAAACGCATTTCAGGACCCCCGAGAAAGGATAGAGGCGGCCGAAGGAGGGCTCCAAGGGGAACCTCTGAAGGGGGAGGAGAGGAATCGAGAACGCATTCTTCGCGTCGTCGACAACAACGAAGGCAATCGGCGACGACCACGCCCACGACAAGTGTATGGCGTGATCGCGTATTGGCGTAATGGCGTAATGGTGTAATGGTGTAATGGTGTAAGTTTTACCCTATTCCCCGGAATGCTGTAATCGTGGAATGGTGTAAACATGACGCCTGTTTCAAAATGGTGTAATGGTGTAATGGTGTAGTAGTGGTATATTGGTGGAATGGTGTACTGGTGTAATGATGGACGCGTACACCATCATGATAATGGTGTAATGGTGTAGTGGTGCAGCGGCGCATCCTTCTACTGAATGGTGTAATGGTGCAATGGTGTAATGGTGTAGAGGTGTAATGGTGTAATGGCGTCATGGTGTAAGTTTCAGTTATCAGACCCAGTTTGCGACCACAGTGGAACATCTTACCCTCGTGCCCGCTCGCCAGAACCAGAGCTGGGCCACATCGGCCCCTCAGCGGGCCCCGAGAAGGGGGGGACCGGCTCAGGGGGGGAGCATTGACCCGCAATGGCCGATACGTCGCCGATGGATCGGCGACAGGCTCCCGATAGCAAATCCGCACCTTCATGGGCAGGGGGGCTGTCGGGCAGGAGAGCCCAGAATCGAATCGACAAGTCGGATCGGCGATCGAAATGAATCGGATCGGTGGAAATCGGCAGCCGAGTTCGCAAAAGTCGACTCAGCAGAAATCGGCATGCTAGCATGCCTCAACTGAGAAATCGGAACCTAGATCGGAATCCCACGTCGAATCGAATCGGAACCGGAAGCCATCGAAATCGAATCGAATCGCATCGGAGGACTCGAAACGAGCCCTGGCCGGGCCCCTATCGGCGATGACTGGGCGGTGGAGGGTCGACGCGTCCCCCCACGAGCGCTTGCCCTCACAGCTCCCGGGCCACAGCTCGGGCCTCCCCGGCGGCCGCTTGGGACGAGCACCGGCGAGGACGCCGAGAGCCGACGAGCACGGCAACCAAAACTCGAA